CGAATTCTTAGCAGCTTAACTTGTCAGATTCACAGAGAAACCGTCACCAAATGTTTATGTGCAAATGATGCTGAATTTTGAAATCATGTGGATTATGGGGAATGGGGCCTGACAAGCTGACAGCCTCTGGTTTGTAACAAGGAGGCGCGTCACCAGCGCGGGGCAGAGGATGTTTATTGTTACACATTTCTTAAAGTGTCCGCGCAAAACCTCCTGGTCCCACTTGAGGCAGCTCTCAATCCCTGGCCTGCCTTCCCACTGAGCCCCCAGTTCCCTTCCCTCCAGCACGGGCCAGCTGGGTGCTCACCCGTCATCCCCAGCCCCGACACCGTGACCGTAGCCCGCGTTCCTGGCCACCCTCCCCTTCCCCTCGTCCTGCTGCTCCCTGCGCAGCCAATCTGGGCCCATGTTGGGCTCCCATAAACTCTGTTTTTTCCATTCCCGTCCTGGCTCGGAGGCACTGTGTTTCCTGTGCTCATAGGAACAGTACTCTGGTCACAGGACCCAGCTGCTTACACATACCCCATATGCTTCCCCTGCCTCTCACACACGTAAGCGTGGCTCCCACATCCCAGCCCGGCGCGTTGCGTGCGGGGCAGCTCATCCATCTGGGGGCAAGATCCCTTCGGCTCTTTCTCAGGCATCAGCTCTGAGTGTCTGTCTGAGCCCCAGCCAGAAACGCCTTGGTGTCAGTGGCGACTCCAAAAAAGCTCCGCAAAAAATAAGGGGTGGCTTTAGATCTTATAATGAGATCAACAGAATAATAGCACCAGCTTCCTGCTGGAGCCAGGGTCGCAGGCCGTCTTCCTGGCCTGGGTCAGGCAGGGACCTCCTCTTCCCAGCCTGTGGCCAGTCCACCACCCCTATGGGCAATGGGCAATGATCACAAATCATCCCTGGGCAGCAGAGAGGGGAGCAGACAGCCGTGGGGATGCAGGGCTGTCTCCGAGGCCCACCAGGAAGCTTGGCAAGGAGCTGAGAGCTGGGAGCAGGGAGGGTAGGGGGACACCATGGGATGGGTGGAAGGCCTGGGGCAGGTCTGAGCTTCACCGTGCTCCGTGTGTGTGTGTCTCGTTGCAGACGATCCCATCCGTTTGCTCAGGGAAGTGGTTTTGCTGACGGACGACCGGAACCTGCGAGTCAAAGCTCTGACCCGCAACGTGCCGGTGCGGGACATCCCCACCTTCCTCAAGTGGGCTCAGGAGGGCTGAGGGGGCCAAGCGGGGCCCAGGGCCCCTGAGCGAGTCACGCAGCCCCTGACGGCGGGAGCCCGGCTCCAGCGGCGGCCTCGCCGCGCCGCCACCGCCGCCAGCCCACCACGAACAATAAACGCCACGTCTTCAACCCACCCCAGAATGGCCGTGCTGAGAAGGGCCCCCCGAGGGCAGACCAGCTGGGAAGGTCATTGCTGTGGATGGTTCACGTGGAGGCTGGGCCGTTGAGGGTCCCGCCAGCCTTTGGGCAGTGCCAGCGCGGAGCTGGAGAGCCCCGCTGGCGAGGGAAGCTTTGGGTGAGCCCTGTGCTGGATCACCGGCCTTTTGCTTGGTTTGCTTGGGTGCAGAGAGCTCGAGTCACACCTTGGTGGCTCTTTGGGTTTGTAGGCTGCGTAGGGCAGAGACTGGGGACATGCCAGCACAGACTTTGGGATTGCTTAGTCCGGCCTGTGCCCCTTGGAGAGGCCATGGACTTCAAGGGCAGGTTTCCCCCTGCCCCAGCCTGTTAGTCCTGCATGGCCAGACAGCCCCAGGTCCCCATCCCCTTCCCCACCGTGTGCTGCCCCATGCAGGAGTGCTGCTTGCAGAGGGGTTTGTCCTCTCCGTGGTGCGGGGTTTGCTTGTTGAGTTTCATTTTTCCAGTGTAGGTTAGTTTTCAGGTGTGTTCCCTGCCTGCTTTGCTGGGGGAGGCTTTGAACACCCCCACAGCTGCTTCGTCCAGATCCCCTGCTCACCCCAGCCATTACTGGCCCCTTCCCTTCTCTCCCAAATCCTTTAGTTTTACCCTGCTACCTTTAGGCACGCTTTTGACCTAAGACTCAGTATGAGGCTAACAAAATTCTCCAAGGACCCCAGGACCAGCTGTCCATGGGTACTGTGTGTCCTCACATTGCCACAGGCCCCCCTTCAATGTGGGATCTAGCTTCTGCCTATGGCTGCAGTCAGAGAGAACCACAGAAATGCTCAGCCCCACTATTTGCCTAGCTGAGAGGGTCCATGGATGGAGCCATTGCCTTGTCCCTGGGTCATTTTGCGCTTGGATTTGCGGTTGGGGTGCTTCTAAACCTTCCACACCCCACGTTGTCCCATCACCAAGTGTCCTGTCCCCAGTGACACACCAGATACAGAAGCTAAGAAGGAGCATTAACCCGTGAACCAGAGCCCCTGGAGCTCTGTCAAGTCCCAGTCCCATGAGCCGAGGGTGGGAGCAAACCCAAGGCCACCCCTGGTCCCTGCTGGGGCACCACGGCCGTGGGAGGGAAGTGTCAGAGGTGGTGGAGGAAGCAGCAGGACAGAGCCCAGCGTTTTCCTTTCCTGTGTGGGTGGCTCAGACCTGGTGTCTGCATCAGGAAGTCCAGTTACCCCTGTGGCAGCTGCCCAGGGCCAGCACCAGGGTCAGAGCCTAGGCAGCACCATGGACACACGGGGTTGTGCTGGATGACCTGTGCCAGAGCAGTGTCCAGCCTGGGGCAGCAGGCACAGGGGCTGTGCTGCAGGGCACAGCCCATCCCACAGAGACTTCGGGATGCCCACGGCTGCTGTGGGGCACAGGGAGCCATCAGCACAGCACCCACGTCCCCGTTCCTTGCCCACAGCCGTGCTGGCTGCCAGCTTTGCAGAGACTTTGCCTTCTCCTCCATGCCGGGTGTGTTCCAGTGTTTGTTTTCTTACGGCGCTGCCCCAGTGCTGCTTTCCGAGGCCCTTCCCGAGGTACCACCAGCCCAGAGGGCCCTGCAGCTCTGCCAGACGTGTCACAGGCTCCGCCATGGGACAGTTTTGGTGCCACCAGACCAGCTGGCACAACGGCAAGCAGAGCTTGAGCACCTGGAGCCATCCATGCCAGGCTGCTGGGAGTCCTTGTCCTGGGGCAGCGCCCGTCTTTGGGTTGTTAAGTTGGTTTTAATAATTTTTAGTATTAAACATGTGTCAGTGCAGTGTGGTGTGTCATTTGCTGTCAGCACATGAGCTCTGCTGAGGTTGGGGTGGGGGACACCAGGGAGGGACAGCAGTGGGACACGTTTTAAGGATGACAGCGGCTCTGTCCCACCTGCATCTGCTGCTGCATCTGCTGCTGCCCCCCAGCTGAGGGGGTCTGGACAAACCAAATGGACAACAAAGCCCTTGGGTCCCCTCCCTTCAGCTCTGCACCCACAGACGTCCCCCGGGGTCACTCCCAGCCATGCTCAGCATCAGCCCTGCACCAGCCAGGCCCCTCCCCAGAGAAGAACGCGAGGCCACGCGTGTTAATGTCACTTTATTGCTCATTCCGTTTCGACTATAGAAAAAAAAGAGGGCGAGAAGCCCGTGTACAAATTGGACGTGATACAGGGGGGGCAGGGCCCCGCTGGGCGCTGCCAGCTGTGCTTTGGGTGCTACCACCGCCGCCAGTCACCCCACGGCAGCTCCGGGGGACACCGCCGGCCCTGGGGGACCGGGACAGCCCCGGGAGGCTCGGGGGGCAGCTGGGCAGGAGCGGCCAGCTCAGGCTAAGGCACAGTGGCTGCGAGGCCGGGGGCAGTCGCTGCTGGCGGCCGCCCGGAGCCTCGTGTGCAAAGGAGAGGAGGGGGCTCAGGAGGGGGGAGAAGCTTCACATTAGCCCCAACGGAGGGGTCAGGGCACGGGCCGGGGGGGTCCAGGCTGGGGGGACTTTGCCCACACCGAGCAGAAGGTGGGAGAGGGGGTGCGGTGGTGGCAGAAGGTGCCCGGGGGGGGACTCGGCCCCAGGTCACATGCACGCCCTGGGCTCTGCCCCACGGCCCCCTCCCGCAGCCCCTGCCCACCTCCCGTAGCTGACAAACCAGAGACCGCTTTGTCTTTGTCATGGACCCCCCGGCCCGGCCCGGCCGCGCTGGAGACGGGCGTCTTTGGCAAAAATAAAAAAATAAAAAATAATCAAGGCGAGTGGCCGCCGGAGGGCGAATCCGCCGGATCCCGGGGCTGGCCCGGGTGCCCCCCTGGCATCCCTGATGGCGAGGCAGGGCCCAGGGGCTCAGTCTGGGACAGGCCGTGCCCCACCTCCTAAAAACACGGAGAGCAGCCCGGGCTGAGCCCCTGCGTTCGGGACGGGAGGTCAGTGCTTGCTTCGGGGCGAGGAGCATCGCGATTCCCCGGCCTCCCCAGCATGGACGTGACCGCCTCTCCCCCGTCCCGCGCCTGCTGCTCAGAGCCCCCCGTCCCCCTCCGTCAGTCTGTCCCCGAGCCCCCGGCGTGCTCGGGCTCACACCCCCAGCCCGGCGCTGGCCGCTCCCGCTCAGCACGGAGGCGTCGCTCCAGCCACGACGGACGAACTACTCACGGCCCGCGGCGGTCGGGGAGGCACAGTCCGGGTCCCGTCGCGGCAAAGCCGAGCGCCGCCGGGTCCCACCGTGGGGCCGCAGCGACGCGGCGGCTGCCGAGGGCGTCTCCTCGCCCGGGGGCGGCAGCCCTGAGGTAAGGAGCGGGCTCATGTCCTCCAAAGCCTCGGGGCGCAGCCCGGCCTCACAGCTTGTGCGTCGCTGCCGCCCGGTGCCGGGGTCCCGGCACCCCCCACGGCAAGGGGCGGAGGTGCCGCGGGGTCAGTCCCTGATTTATCGGCTTCTCCCGAGCAAGCCGGGGCGCTGGTCGAGGGACACGCCGTCCATCCATCCCGGAGCAGCTCTCATGGGACCATCGCTACGAGCGAGTTCTCCGGGACCGTCGGCAGCGCCAGGGGACGAGCACCCATCACCTCTCGCCCCCCCGCCCCAGCTCCACACGGGGCAGCGAGGGGAGCCCAGCGGCCCCCCCAGCCCCCCGGCCAGGCCGGTGCTAGGGGGGCGAGTATCGCTCTATGGTCCGGGCGGCCTCGGTGTGGAGGTGTGGAGCCTGCGCCAGCACCTCGGCCGCCTTGTCCTGGCTGAGCCCCAGGTGCTCAGCCGTGAACTTGGCCAGGGGGTAGAGGCTCTCCATGGCCTTGGGGTCGCTGAGGAAGTGCGAGGTGTGGGAGAGCAGCTCGGCCGCCTTCTCCTGCTTGAGCCCCAGCTGGTCGGCGGTGAGACGGGCCATGGCATAGACGCTGTCGGGGAAGTCCAGCTTGGCTTTGCCGTCGGGGCCGGCCGCGTGCATCTTCATGTGGCTGATGAGGTTGCGCTGCTGGGCGAACTTCCCGCCGCACACCTGGCACTCGTAGGGCTTCTCGCCCGAGTGGATGCGCATGTGCTCGGTCAGGCGGTACTGGCGAGTGAAGCGCATCCCGCAGGCGTCGCAGGCGAAGGGCTTCAGGCCGAGGTGGCTGCGCATGTGGCGGGTCATGGTGCCGCGCTGCGTGAACTTCTTGCCGCAGATGGTGCAGGGGTAGGGGCGCGTCAGCCAGTGCGTCTTCTCGTGCTGCCGCAGCGTGGCCGGGTCCTTGTAGGACTTGTCGCAGGAGGAGCAGCGGTAAGGCCGCAAGATGTCACCCAGCCCCGGGCCACCTTTGTCCAGGAAGGGCACGGCCTGCTCGGCCGCCGCCTTGTGATAGAGCTCCTCTTCGTTGTGGGCCTCCACGTGGGCGTTGAGCTGCTCGGAGCTGGGGAAGCCCTTACCACAGGGGATGCACACGTATAGGTTGTCGCCCAGGCTCTCCGGCTCGTAGCCCAGGTGGTTGCAGTAGCGGTCCAGCGCGTCGCCGGGCGAGGGGCCCTCGCTGCTGCCCGTCTCCTCGCTCGTGCTGTTATCAGGCTCCAGGTCGTTGCTCTCCACGCTGGGGTAGCGGGGCTGCGGCGCCGCAGGCGGCGATTCGGCCTTCTCCTCCCGCTCCAGGTCCTTCTCTGCCTCCCCCTCGTCCAGGTAGGGGCCCAGGGGCTCGTGCTTCATCCAGCGGTACATCAGCTCTCGCCCGTCAGCGCGGGGCAGCGGGGGCTCGGCGCAGGGCGGCGTGCTGCGGAAGGGGTCGGGGGCGTGGGGGTGTCCCCCCGGCTCTCCGCCCGGCGGGGAGTCCTTGTAGGCAGCGGCGTGGCTGCCCAGGAGGCCGGCGCTGACGGGGGGGCTGTCGTGCCGTGGGGGCAGCGAGGGCTCGCGGGGCTCGCTGGGCAGCAGGCGGTCGGTGGGCAGGAGCTGGGCAGAGGGGCCGGTGGGGCTCTTCTTGGAGAGGTCGAGGCCGCAGGGCGGCGAGCAGTGGCGCTCGGGCGGGCACAGCCCGTGGGGGTGCAGCGGGGCGCCCTGGGCGGCCGAGGCGTACAGCTCCCCGCACTGAGTGTTGAGCGGTGCCGCCGGCTCCACGGGCGGCAGATCCACGGGCCGTGGTGTCCCAGAGTAGCAAGCCTGGATGACCGGCGTGGCGGCCCGCAGCCCACGGCCCAGCTTGTAGGGAGCGTAGCCCCCTCGCAGGTGGCAGTACTTGCCGCTGCGCTTCAGCTTCTTCTTGCAAAGGGCCACCAAGCCGGGGATCTGGAGGTAGCTGGCGGCAGCCAGCACAGCACCCAGGCTCTGCTCGCTGCCCGGCTCGCACTCGGCCAGGCGGCCGGTGTAGATGAAGTCGAGGATGAGACGGAAGATGCCGGGGCTCACCATCTCATGGTCCAGGTTGAGCAGGTTGTCGTGGACCACCAGCGACTTGAGGTAGGCGCTGCTGGCGGCCAGGATGTTCTTGTGCGCTCGGAAAAGCGCGTTCTGCACCACGATGATCACGTCGCACAGGAAGCCCTTGGTGCGCTGCGTGTTCAGCTGCAGCAGCAGCTGCCGCGAGTGGCTCGGCACCTCCATGGCGTCCAGCATCCCGCTCCTCGCCCGCCGCCCTGCAACACACCGGCCGCCCCGTCAGCGCTGTGCCTGGCCCCGCATGCCCACCGCAACGCGCGGGGGGCTCGACGGGCGCGCCCGGGGCTTCACCCACGCGTGGGGTGCGTGGCGTGGGGGGGGCGGGTCTCAGCCCCACGCACCGCTGCCTCCCGGCCGCTCTGCGCGGTGCCACCGCTTATATGGGGGATCGTTTCTCGGCGGGTCGGGGGGGCGGAAGGGGGGCGAAAACCCCCGGAGGGTTTTGGAGAAAGTGACATCACCCGCCGCCGCCGCCAGTGCCGCGCCCCGGCCCCGCCAGCCCTGGGACCCCCGCGCCCACCTGCCGGGGGAGCGCAGGGGGGGACACCCCGAGCCGGTGCTCGCCACCCGCTCGCCGATCCCCGCGCCCCGCCGCTGTCCCGCTCCCCGCCGCGCCTCCCCGCTTCTTATGCGCCCCGGTCCCGGGAGGCGGCCGGCCGGACCCCCCGGGCGCCCCCCGCCCCCGTTTCCTCTCCCCCCCTCGAGGTGAGCGGGGGGACGATTGGGGGTGTGGGGGGGAGCGGGACCTCCCCTCCCCGCCTCCGTCCCGGTGCCGGTGCCCCCCGCCCAGGTGCGTAAAGCCAAGTGCCCGCGGAGCTGCTTTTCCGGCTGATTCTCCCCGTATTTCGGGGTGATCCCCCCCCCTCCTCCTTTTACCTGGGCGTCCGGTGGCCTCCGCCAACCAGCTGAGGTCTCGGTGAACTCTCATGGCTCAGCCCCGGGGGGGCCGCCGCCGGTTGCTGCTCCCCTCCACCCTCCTCTTCCTCTGCTGCTTCTCTTCCTCCATACCCCGCGCTCCCGGCCGGTCCTACGGAACGGGAGGAGGAGGAAGAGGAGGAGGAGGTGGTTGTGGAAGAAGCAGCAGCGGTTCCTCGGGGTTCCCGACGCCGCCAGCTCGGAGGTGAAACCCGGGCTGCGAACTCCCCCTGACCCCGGCCTGAACTCCGAGCAGCGCCGCTGGCTGTTAAAGGGACGGCGGGAGGTTTTCCTCCTCCCATCCCCGGGCGGGGCACCGACAAGCCGGGCCCCCCCCTTTACACACCCCTCCCTCCCCATCCCGGTCTCCTCCTCCTCCTCCCAGCCGGGTTTTTCCCTCCTCCCGGTCTTCTCCCGCCGCACCCTGACCGCCCCCTCGGGGGTCTCTATCTTTAGGACATCGCTCTTTGCCCGGGGACACCCCGGGTGGGGCCGGGAGCCCTGAAGAGGGGGGGACCTGGGGTGTCCCCGGCCAAAGGGCGATGCGTCCCCCCCGTCGGTACCGCTCGTAGGGCGCCATCTAGCGGCTCCCGGTGCGCTCCAACCCCCCCCCCCCCCCCGGTACCGGAGGCGGCTCCTCCCCGCGCAGGTGGGACCCGACGGGGCGGACGGTGGTGGGGAACCATAAAGTTTAGGGGTTCTGCTTGCCGCCCCACCCCAGGGATCGATGCCGATACACAAAGCGGGATGGCACCCATCGGTTGGGAAGGCTGGAGAGGGTGGCGTCGTTTTGGGTTGCAGAGGGTGGAACACCGTGTCCGATACGTGGAGATGATGTGGGAACGGGTTCTGGGGAGCAGGGAGGGAAGGCAGACGGCCCTAATTTGCTGGTGAGGGGGGACAGCAGAAAGCAGGAGGGGCGCGCAGCGCTGGCGCCCAGATGTGCGGTGGCGGTGGCTCGGGGTGGGCTGGGGACTTGCGGTGGTTTGGGATGAGGAGGAGGAGGAGGAGAAGGAGAAGGAGGGGGAGGAAGAGCCACGTTTAGCCCCGGCTTCATCCCTCCAGCCGTCCCTGAAAAGGCTGCTGGGCTGGGGGTGCAGCATGGGGTACCCCCCTTGGCGCGGGGGGAGCCGCCTCTCGCTTCACACTTTCACTTCTCCTTTCTCACAGCCGCAGCCTCTTGCACAACCTCCTGGTACAGCAGAGCATCGTGATGGGCTTCCCCAGGCTGGCTGCTAATCCTGGGGTGTCCCGCTGGCACCCCTGACTTTAACAGGGCACCCGGAGCAGTGGCCATCCCTCCCATTTGGGCTCTTGGGGTTTCACTCCATAACCCTGGTCCCCTGGTGAATGGGAGCCAATGTGGGGTCCTTGGTGCCTGGGACAGGGTTTGGCCAGCCCTGAATTTGGGATAAAAATAGGATGGGTGCTGGCAGGGAGGGTGCAGCCGTTGCCCTCGCAGCTCAGCATCACTCACCTGCAACTCATCCTCAGATTCCCTTCAGATTCAGCATGTCCCAGTTCACTACGGAGACGTCACCCTGGGGACCGGGACGGAGTGTCACTGCCCGTGGGGACCCTGCAGTGGGCTCATCCCAGGCACGGCTCAGAAATCGCCCTCCCTGCTCCCCAGGCTGGGCTCTGGCCCACAGGAAGCGCTGAGATCCTGGGAGCGGGACGTGGGCGACCCTCGTTAGAGCCGCGGTTTAATCCCAACTCCCCGGGCACTAATTTCTCCCCCCTCTCCCATTTTTTTTTCCCCCCTCTTCAATTAACGGCTGGAAGTGTTTCAGGTTCTGGCAGCGAGCTCTGGACGTCGCTGTGAGCGATGGCTCCCGCGGGCTCCGTCCCGGTAATTTATGGGGCTGAGCTGCATAAATCACGGCAGCGAGCGGCTCCCAGACAGCTGCATCCCCCGGGGCCGGCCGGGACCCCGGGCTGCCCCAGCTACCTGCTGAGTGACGCCGAACCCCGGGGGCAGCGGCCGAGGGAGGGAATGGAAAAACCCTTCACCTTTTCCACCCTCCTTTGCAGCTCCTCTCCCATTCCCGGCCTCACCCAGGAGCAGAGGGGCGGATCGGTGCCCGCGGGGGTTTGGGGCAGGTGGAGGGGGGTTTCTTGCACGAGTATCCCCCGTCCTGTCCTGCTCAGCCTTCTGGAGGTATCCTAACACAGCAGCCTGAGCCAGCGTTCTGCACCCAGAGCTCTCAAAAGCTGCCGGGTCTCCGCAGGGAGCTGCAGCTGATGTCCAGTTCCGAGGGACGGGGACGGTCGGGGCTGCAGCACCGCAAGAGGAGCCAGCGCCGGCGGCCGGGAGCGCGCAGCGAAAGGGGCATTTTCGCCTCAATGTGCTGAGCAGATTGGAACCAGTTCTGGTTAAGTCATTGGCTCTGTTGGGAGGTCTGAGCTGGAGAGTTTCCCGCCTGTGCCCCCTCCCCACGATCAATCAAAGTTGCAACAAATTAGCCCAGATGCTGGGAGATTCGGTTCAAATCCAGCTGTGGTTTGGATCGCGTTCGCATGCCTGGCTTCATGTGGGACCTGGGCTTTTGGACAGGATACAGCCCCCCGGTCTCTGCAGGGCCCTGTTTCCCAGCGCAGCCTCTCCCCAAAGCCCACACACATGTCTTCGATTACGGCGCGTTGGCCAGCGGGGCCGCATCCGGCAGCGCCAGGAGCCTGCAGCCCCCGCTGGCAGCTCGCTCTTCATTTTCCCGGCGGTGCTGGGGCACAGCAGCCCCGAAACTGCGGCCCCTGTGTGTGCAGGAGGATGTGTGTCCCCTCCACCTGGGCTGGGCTGAGGCTGCAACTCGTGACAGTGCTGAGCTGTTCCAGGCTGGGCAGGGATCACCGCTGCCCATCTCCTGAGCTGTTCCAGTGCCCAGCCCTGCCTGCTGCAAAGCAAGGCTGGGGGCAGCCACGGGACCCTGCCAAGTTCTTCCAGGGTGCCCCCCATCATGAGAGGATCCCTGAAAGGCAGTGGGAAGGGCAGAGCTTCCCTGGCACCCGTCAGGGTGGCTGCTCTCTGCTGTGCTGTCTGGGTGGCATTGCTGGGAGTCATTGCCTGGGGGGTGATGCTCAAGTGGCTGGGGGGCTCTTCTCTGTGGAGCAATGCTTGATGGGGCAATGAGACCCCTTTCTTGTGGCGTGACACTGAGAGGAGCCTTTTTTACAGAGTGATACTTGGTCAGACAAGGACATTTATCCCTGCAAGGTGATATTTCATGGAGCAGGGCAACCCTTCCTTGTGGGATGATGCCTGATGGGGTGACAGGACCTGTTCTCTCCAGGTAGATGAGGGTCCTGTCCCTGTGGGTCAAGGTTTGGTGAGAT